TGTCACTGCTAGATGCTGTTGATTTCGTGCATAAACTTGATTTCATAGTGGTATAGTGTAGTGCAGACTGGAAGGCTTTCAAGAACTTCTAAATCTGTCGCCACTACTACATTGTTCTCTTCGAAAACAACTTCTTAATTTATTTACTTGCTTACTTCAAATAGGTGTGCATGAAAGAATTGCACTGGCGAAACAGTCCATTGATTATGTCACAGTGCGGATCCAAAGGTTCACCCATCAATATCAGTCAGATGATTGCATGTGTTGGTCAACAATCAGTTGGTGGCCGCCGTGCTCCAGATGGATTCATAAATCGAAGTCTTCCTCATTTCCCTCGAATGTCCAAAACCCCTGCTGTAAGTTGAAAGTTCCTCTGTTCCAATGTCTGCAATTCTACAGATGCAGGATGCACCTTTAGTTTGATTGAATTTTAGTAGTTATTGATTGAAAATATTTGTTTATTGAATGGTTTTGCTGGGAGTATATGTATATGATAAAATTGGACTTTAGTGTTCTTCTAACGAGGATGTGCAGATGTTTGCACTTAGTTGTTGTACAGTGAGATGGGATTTCTAGGCATCAATATGGCATTATGGCCGTTATTGTTTGTTCAATTCCAAGTGAACCTGTTGGAAAAGGGTCTATAGCTATGATAATTGATGCTGCCATTATATATACTCATTGCTTGACATTTATTCTTTCACTTGCATACCTCTCCTGTAAATTCACCCCTAACCACTAATCGCTGATATATATGATTTTGTGTGTGTTACTCAGCTATAGCTCTTGGAATATGGATAAGTTACTGTATCTTCTCGATTAGAAATCAATGTTGAAGACTTCAAAGCCATTAACTAGCTCAATATTCAATAAGTCGCCTTATCGTTGTTGTGCAGGCTAAAGGATTTGTGGCTAACTCATTCTACAGTGGATTGTCCGCTACTGAGTTTTTCTTCCATACAATGGCTGGTAGAGAAGGTTTAGTGGACACAGCGGTATGACACTTACTGCTTGTTATTTATCCTTGTTTATTGAGAAAGTGTTTCATGCATCCTTTGATAAGCCTATGAGTATTGAGTACAAATCTTGGATTTGTCTTATTAAAATCTCATATTTCTTCCAAGTTCTTTCTGCATTTATTCCAAGTTCTTTCTGTAGCTTGAATATATACTCGACACTTAGTAGTTAATAAGCATTTGAGTTTGAAACTACCTAGACCTCTATATTCTAACTTGAATAGTACTTATCTTGAGAATTGATTCCAACAGACTTTGGGTTCTCATAGATCAAGTGGGATCTCTTCAGTCCTAATATCTTATTACTTGTTCTTCAGGTGAAAACTGCTGATACAGGATACATGTCCCGTAGGCTGGTGAAAGGCCTTGAAGATTTATCCATCCGGTATGATAACACTGTTCGTAGTTCAAATGGTATTATAGTGCAATTCATTTATGGGGATGATGGATTAGATCCGGTGAAAATGGAGGCGAAAGGTGGATTCCCATTAAATTTTGATCGATTGCTCATGAAAGCAAAGGTTTGTAAATAAATGCAGATTTACATTTCTGTCATTGTTAGTGGTACAATTGGAACATATGATGATTAAAGATACCTTTGGGTTAACCTTTCTGTAGGCAACCTGTCCCGTGGAAAAAGATGACTACTTATCTCCTTTAGATATGTTCAAGACCTTTGAAGATTTATTGCTAGATTATCAGACTCTTGACAACCCTTGTTCGGAGGCCTTCCGAGAAAGTCTCTGCAATTTTGGTTCCAAGTGTGTTAAGCGATTAGAGAGTATGCTAAGGAAGGTGAATGACCAAGAGGGAGGAATATCTAATGGTACAGAAGATGCTGAATCTGCACAAGGAAATAATTGGGCTACCTGCAAAGTTGTCTATAAAATATATAGTGTTACCAAAAATCAGCTGAAGGTAAGGTGGCTAATAAATTCCCTGCATTTTGATGGAATGTCAATTTATTTTTTTAACTTGGTCTCATATGAAACTTGAAGTCGAAGGTTGGTCCTAAACCAGCAATGGATCTCACTAAGCTCTGTGGAATACTAAGATGCTATTTGTTTGATGATCCTCTGAATTTGCTTCACTATTTATTATTTTTATTAATGGGATTTGTAAGGTAGTGCCATTTTCAATTTTGTTCAAGCCAACTGTAACCTTGGTCAGCCTTCCGCTAAGTCTCTGTTTCTTGGGTGAGTGTTGATCTACTTGTAATGAATATATTCAAATTGAGCCGCAGGTTTTCATGAGAACCTGCTTTGATCGTTACCTTTGGAAGAGGATTGAACCTGGAACTGCAATTGGAGCAATTGGAGCTCAAAGTATTGGAGAACCAGGGACACAGATGACACTGAAAACTTTTCACTTTGCTGGAGTTGCAAGCATGAGTATCCTTACTAATCTCATGTGACTAGCCTTTTAATGTTTGTCTTGCTCTAGTTTTACATGTTACAGTTACTGTTTTGATTACTTAACTGTCTCTTAGATATCACACAGGGAGTTCCTCGTATCAAAGAAATCATAAATGCAGCTAAAAAGATCAGCACACCCATCATAACTGCTGAGCTCGAGAATAATACTAACGTAAACGCTGCTCGAGTTCTAAGAGGGCGTATTCAGAGAACTATTTTAGGCCAGGTTAGTGGTTTTTGGCTTTTTGCTTGTAAAAAAGAAAGTTAAGGCCAATGCGCCTAAGAAGATTTATGGCTATATTCCTATTCATTCATTCACCCATCTTGGCTAACAAGTTATTATTGTGTGGATAGAAGTGGGTATTTTGTACATGATAGATGATAATGACCCACTATGTTTATATCATTGTCCAGTTCTCTAGTCTTTACTGAAGCGTAAGCAGTTCCTACATGCTAAACTTCCCCTGGATTTTATTCCTTTTCTGCTGCATCACAGGTTGCAAAAAGTATCAAAATTGTGATGACTCCAAGATCAGCTTCTGTTAAAGTTGCACTTGACATGGAAGCAATTCAGGAGGCTCAACTAGCCCTGGATCCTAACATTGTAAGGGAAGCGATTTTACGGGTTCCAAGATCAAAAATAAATCCAAAGGTAATAGTAAGTTTTTATTAAAGAAAAGGAAAGACGAGGTGCCCTGAAATGATATCCCTTTTCCTGGAAATAGAGCTTGGATGTGTGTTATTATCACTACTGTTTGCAAAATAACGACGACTGCTCATAACCAGTTGTCTCAACATGCAGCATCTGAACGTTGTGGATCAGACGTTGGAAGTATCTCCACAGGGTAACAGAAATAAACTACACTTTGAACTCCATCATTTCAAAAACATGCTCCCAAATGTTGTAGTGAAGGTTAGATTTCTGCTGTCAAGTGAAAATTCACTGCTTCACTTATGCTTCCTTGCTACTTGCATTCACTGCCATGTCCTCTGTTCTCTCTTATGCTATACTAGGGCATCAAAACAGTTGAACGAGCTATTATTGCCCAGAAAAAGCGTGATGGTGGTGGCGAAGATCAAGAGACCCCAAAGTACAACATGTTGATAGAAGGGTTAGTTGTTTTTTTCTAACTTGATTTCTCTTTCTCACTTGATGCTTGTGTGAGTTATGTACGTTATTAGCTCTCGAGCAACGTATCAATTCTTTTCCAGTGTAGTAATCCCTTTAAACATTATGCATCGATCTTTTCTCAGAACGGGGCTTTTAGAGGTGATGGGAACCGAAGGGATTGATGGGAAGAACACGACAAGTAATCACGTTATAGAAGTCATGCAAGTGCTAGGAATTGAAGCAGCAAGAAGGTGCATCATTGAACAGATCAAAGACACCATGGAAAGCCACGGCATGAGCATAGACATGCGCCATATGATGCTTTTAGGAGATCTGATGACATTTCAGGTACCGAACGAGTCCATCCGTTTCTTTGAGCATGGGATGATGATTGTTATGCATTGCATCACAACGTTTTCTTTGACATGAATGTATGTCTGGTTAACAACACAACAGGGTGAAGTGCTTGGGATCACAAGATACGGTATCCAGAAAATGGACAAGAGTGTGTTGATGTTGGCTTCCTTTGAGAGAACAGCGGACCACCTTTTCAATGCAAGCGTTAATGGGAGAGTAGACAAGATAGAAGGGGTCAGTGAATGCATCATAATGGGGATCCCTGTCCGCTTGGGCACCGGAATGCTAAAAGTCCGCCAAAGGTAGGAGATTCTACAATCTCTCTCTTTTAAGTAGTAGGGTGTGCAACTAGTGGTTCATAGTCACTACAGATGAATCGAAACGGGTCGATATTCGAAATGCATGCTGACTGAATCGATTCTATAGATTAAAGTTAAGGAACAAACCAGACTGAGTTGATCCCAGAGTTGACAAACGCACTTGATTCGACTCTAATCGATCCCCCTGTACTAATATGGTCCAATTGATCTAGACCAGAATCGGATCAGACCAGACCATACAACCAACCCTCTTATGTGGAGCAAAATGAACGTCATCCCAGTTACTTCTACTTTCTGGCGGATTGTCTAAAATTGGAACGATACTTTCTTGCGGACTGACTATCTAGTTCTTTGAATGTATATTTGTCATGAATTGTTTGTCCTTTGCTGCCTGATCAGTAATATTGTGCTGTGGTTGCAGGGCTGATTATGCGCCGACCATGTTGCGGTATGGACCGGATCCTATTGTGGCTTAGAAGATTGGCTGGTTGGCTGGCTGGCTGGCTTCATAGGATAGAAGTTGCAAACGATGTTAGAAGAAGCTGGTTTTGGTCTGTTTTCATTTTGGTTGGCTCTCCAGGAAGTAGTAGTTTTGTTTTATTCAATGTTTCTTTTCAATTACGGCATTAACACAACCCCTTGGAGACAGTAGGAGGATTTTCATGTATTGATAAAGGTGATGCTACCTTGTTCTAATAAGTTTCGACCGAGCAAATAGGCAAATGAAACTACTAGTTCTAGTTAAAGCAGGGTGTCGACAAGTGAAGTCTATCTTTACTCCATTTCTTTATGGATCAAACGTATTACTCCCCTAATATAGTTCGTCATTCAGGATCTAGTTATCTTTCGCTTATTGCTTACCAGTAACTTGTAAGACACTTAACCTATTGTACGTTATCATCTTACGTAAAAGATTCATAATCATAACCCTCGGACTCGGATCCTTTCAACTCAAAATCCAATGGTGCGTAACAAACGCCTAGAACAATAAAGATAGTAGATTAGTCTTCAGTTTTGCTGGTAAACGCTGAACTTGTAAATCGCAGCAGCGCCTGCAAAACCAGCTGGTACGTTGCAGTCCTAATTCACCCAGACAGATCACTAGCAGATAGCTAAGGGCTCGGAAGTACCTACTACCACCCAGCTAAGAACCTAGCAAGCGCAGGACTGCATGTACCGTACAATGATGCTCCACATTTTGCTGCATGATTAAATACAAACAGATCAACGACACACGCCATATAAAAGGCTGTCTAATTAGACCTAGCAGATTTTTATGCAAAGTGAAAAAATGAATCGGGCGGGATGACCTGCTGAAGAGTATAATCACGTTCCAATTGGCGACCCCCGAAAATGAAACGAACAGCGTCGACTGGCAGCCCGATCGAATCACAGAATGCTTGCAACAGCTTCTCCAACGGGGCAGCTTGATTAATATTGTACGTGTGAGTCTTCCCGTTCTGTTGCAAGATTAATTCATACGTTAATCAACCTCAAAGCACAGCATTATTGTTATTACTTATCAGTTTCAACTAAAAATGAGACTATTCCGGAGCTAATTGATTAACTAGAGTGTCACATACAAAGTTCTTCACAAAGACGCATATCTTCTTTGGCCCCTCCAGATCAATTATTGGGACTGCATCTATAACATCACCTTCCTCCATCTTTACCAACTTAGGGGTGTCGTCGTGATGTAAATTGCGGCCATTGTACAAGAAACGAACATCATCTACAACCAGCTCGTTCCAATCGCAGTACGATAGCATCAATTTACGCAGCTGGGTAGCTGGATTAATTCTGAACAGCATAGAGCTCCCAGCCTAGATTTCCAGAACTCATGTGTTAAAACAAGATCACACTATTCCAGAGTCAATTGATAGATTAGAGCATTACATACCTGGCCCTTCACTTTCACGATTATCTTCGGCTCCTCCTGATCCATTATTGGTACTCTCTGTTTGTTCTACGAAAGAAAGTTGGACTCCAACTCCGGCTGCAAAATCATTCAAAAAGAGTACAGACACAACAGCGTAAGTAAATGTCTGAAGTACCCGGTCGGGAAAAAATCGATTTTTTCAACTCGCAGTTAGTCATCTCAGAAGATCGAACGATTTGAAACATCTCTAGATACAAACAACCCAACTCGAACAATCACATCATTCACAGGATCAGACCTTCAAATCACAAAAACAAACTCCGGATTTTCTGATGTCATGAGTTATAACCAAGTCAAATGCTCATCAAACGAATCTGACATGGAGAAAGAAGATTTATCGACCCAATGGAGATATCATAATCCGACTAAATTGATTCTCCAACTAACCCCCAAGAGTATTAAAATTCCACCACAAACAGATGATTAACAGAATTAGCATACCCCATAAGGGAAACAACACCTCATAAAAATTCCAGAACGCATGACCAAAATACCATCCACTCAATCAAGTTCCATAGGAAAACCCTAGTTGCCTTTTCATCTCAGGTTCCAACTTCCCATCATCAGTTCGTTTTCTTTCTAAGTATTGAAAGAACCCTATTCTAATTTCTAGGTACACTTTAGACTAGCTGACTGAAGAACAGAGCGACGAGGGGAAGAAGACATACATCTAGATGAGGCAAGAGTACTCACAACTGTGTTGTTCCACAAAGGAAGATAACCAAACTGGAATTGGGAGCTCGGAGGGGAAATAAATATGGCGCCGTGGAAACTGGAGAGTACCTCTTTCTCCTTGTCTCTCACGTCTCAACCGAAACCCTTTTTATAACAGTTGAACTAGAAATGGTTGGGTTGGGTTGGGTTCAATTTTAAATTGTTACAAAAGGTGGGCTCAGCGCTTTAGTTTTGGCTGGATCTGGCATTGGGCTTTTTTATAGAATTCTTTTTATTTCAGCGGCTAATATAAGCGGCTCATAAAAATATTTATCTCATCGAAGGTAGCTTAATTTTTTCAAATAAATCTAAGTCATGAAAATGGATACAATTAAAAAAAAACGTTCGTCATTAAATAATTTCATATTACAATTGTTACTTAAAATACAAATATATTACGTAAAGTATACAAGATTACAGTTATTTATAATGGGATAAATTGCAAATTTGGTCACCAGGTTTACTAAAAACGCTCATGTTTAGTCACTACAAATATTTAATTTCATTCGTGGTCACTAAGATTAGTTCAATGGTCTAAATTTGGTCACTCTCCGTTAGTCTCCGTTAACTTTAGCCTATATGACAGTCAACTCTACTAATTGACCGTTAAATATGTGACGTGACAATTAAAAAATATTTTTTATTTTCCACCTCACTACAATTATTAACAATAAAAATAAAATACATTTAATTTTCCGCCGTTGTCGGATTTGAGGTGGAGGGGACAGATTTTTATCACCAGTCGTCATTATCGATTCCAGCAACTGCATCCTGCTCGAATCCGGTGAACCCTCCGCTTCTCCTCCGGTCTTCAATCGGGTCGACGTTTTCAACTCCCTATCTCTGTTTCCCCTCCCTCTCTCTCTCTCTCTCTCTATATATAAATGAAAACAGAGTCTCTCTCTAGATTTCCACCTCCGCCATTCCCTGCCCTCTCACTCTCTCTCTAGAAGCCAAGACTAGTCCAAATGAAGCAGCTGTCTTTAGTTACTCTCCCATGCTTGGGATCCGACTCCACCCTCGTCGTCATCTCCGGGCCCCCGATCGCCTTGCGGCATGGTATCCTCGTCTTACAACAATTCCGTCATTCTCAACATCATGCGAATCTATTTCAACACCTGTGTTTTATTTGTTACAGAGCGTTTTCGTTGGGAGTGATCAAGTTAGCTCGACGATGGCGGGTGGTAGGGATTCGGATTCCGTGACGGTGAGATGCTGGACAAGGGATGGGAGAATTGGAACCTGATTTCCCCCAAGTGGGGATAGAGCAAGGTTGTCAAACCGGTTTATGCCAGTGTGCCGGTTTAGCAAATGGAATGGTTCAACGACACAGACCAAAGGAAACCTAGCAAGCAGATTTTTCCTGCAAAGCAAAAAAAATGATTAATTGGGCGATTGATGACCTGCTGAGGGGTAGCATCACGTTGCAATTGGCGACCCCCGTAAATGAAACGAACATCGTCGACTGGCAGCCCGATCGAATCACTGTATGCTTGCATCAGCTTCCCCAACGGGGCAGCTGGATTGATTCTGTACATGGTGGTCTCGTTACGCTGTTGCCAAGCCAAAATTAATCCATACGTTTAATCAACCTCCAAGCACAGTATAATCACTATGACTTAATATCAGTTTCAAATGAGAAACGAGACTAATCCGGCGGCTAATTGATTAATTAGAGTGTCACATACCGAGCCCCTCACAAAGACGCTGATCTTCTTCGGCCCCTCCTGATCCATTATTGGGACTGCATCTATGACATCACCTTCCTCCATCTTCACCAACTTAGGGGTGTCATCACGGTGCAAATCGCGGCCATTGCACGAGAAACGGACATCATCTACGACGAGCTCGTTCCAATCGCAGTACGATAGCATCAATTTACGCAACTGGGCAGCTGGATTGATTCTGAACAGCATAGAGCTCCCGGCCTAGATCCCAGAATTGATGTGTTAGTCAACAACCAATAACAGTATTGTTAGTACTTATTACATAAGTTTAGTAAAAAACAAGATCACACAATTCCAGAGCCAATTGATTGATTGATTAGAGCATTACATACCTGGTTCTTCACTTTCACGGTTATCTTCGGCTCCTCCTGATCCATTATCGGTGCTCTCTGTTCGTTCTGAGTGGGAAATCGGACTCCAAATCCGGCTGCAAATTCATTTAAAAATAGTACAGACAGAGCGTCAGTGCCTTGAAGTAATTTTGTCAAATCGTAGTGAATCGTTTCAGAAGATCGAATGATTCGAAACATCTCTAGATACAAACACCCCAACTCGAACAATCACATCATTCACAGGATCAGACCTTCAAATCACAAAAACAAACTCCAGATTTCTGGTGTCATAAGTTATAACCCCATTACTTAACCTGAAATTGTGATAAGTTCCAACCCTAACTTAGGACACTCGATCATAATCAGAAAAACTTGATTCTCCAACTCACCCCATTGAGTATTAAAAGTCCACCACAAGCAGATGATAAAACAGAATTAACTTACCCTGTATAGAAGTTTTAGGGTTTAGTGTGGACAGACAAGAAAAGGAAGAAAAAAAAAGTTTAGGGTTTTTGAATCAAGGCTGTTAAGTTACAGGCTTTGATACCATGTAGAAGTTTCAGGAGGAGTAATTTGTACACCTTGTACTATTATGAAACCACAAAAGGGTTTATATAGAATACAAGACTTGGACAATAAGTAAGAGAACCACAACAATTGTAATACTAGAATGACACGGAAATACTAAGAACTATACTAAAAAGACAAGGAAATATAAGATTATTCCTAATCTATCACTAACACCCTGAAGGAGAACACCACCTCGTAAAAATTCCAGAACACATAACCAAAATACCATCCACTCAATCAAAGTTCCAATGCAAAACCCTAATTGGCTTTTCATCTCAGATTCCAACCTGCCATCATCGGCTCGTTTCTTTCCAAGTCTTGAAAGAAACCCTATTCTAATTTCTAGCTACACTTTAGACAGCTGAATGAAGAACAGAGCGAAGAAAACATCAATCTAGATGAGGCAAGAGTACTCACAACTGTGTTCGTCCACAAGGAAGCAAGCTGCAAAAAACAACAGGAAGAACAAGACTGGAATTAGGAACTCGGAGAGGAAATATGGCGCCTTGGACACAAGAGAGGAGAGTGCCTTCTTCCGCCTTGTCTCTCAAGTCTCAACAGAAACCCTATTTATATCAGTTGGACTTGAAAGGGCTTGGTTGGGTTGACCACTTTGGACCAGTTGGGTTGGGTTGGGTCGGGTCGGGTTGGGCTTAATTTTAAATGTTTGCAAAAGGTGGGCTCTCGGCTCTTTAGTATTAGGCTGGCTCTGGCAATTGGCCTGTTCTATAGGATTTTGTTTACTGCATCGGCTAATGGCACATAAAAACATTTATCTGCTTGAACATAGGAACTTCCTACATTAACTTAACCTTTTTTCCAATGATTGAAAAATCCTACCAAAGTTGTACCAGAAAAGCTAGTGATGATGATCCATTTCATGCTAAAAATCGGGGTTTAATTGTGGTTTAACCGTTTCGTATCGTCAATCGATTTCGGTTTCCGTATGAAGTTTTTCTGATCGAACCGTCCGTACGGTATGGTTGTTAATCATTTATATTTTTTTTATCCAAATCAATCTAAGTTTTAAAAATGGATACAATACAAAAACAACTGTTGATCGTTAAATAATTTCATGTTACAATTGTTACGTACAATACGAATATATTCCGTAGAGTTGACATAACTACAGTATTTTCTTATGTGACGGCTGAAGTACTATGTAAAGCTTCTATAATAATTTGACACTTTGATTAATATGGTGTTATTCTTAGTTATGTAAAAGGATCTTTAATTATGTGAGACTTATATACTTTCATTTTACAACTGTTACGAGTGAAGCAACAGCTTCATTACTATGCTCACAAACACTAATGCTTTTGTCTAAAAAAATATCTTTTATGATACAAACTGAATTTCTATGGTGCATATTCATTTTATATTTATATATTACGGAAAGTATACAGAATTACAGTTATTTCTTATACAAAGGCTAAATTAGATGCACTATGTAAAACTTCCATAACTGTTGCGTGTGATAACAAGAGCTCCATTGCAATGCTCATCACAAATGATGCTTTCGTTTAAAATATACATATATAGTAGTGTCTTCGGTGTACTCACTTTTTCAGTTTTTCTGGTGCATTTCATCATAGTCATTTTGAATAGGCGATTCATGTCAAATGATACATATACAGTAGTGTCTTCGGTGCACTCACTTTTTCTGGTGCATTTTATAATAGTCATTTTGAATAGGCGATTCATGTCAAAACGATATCAATCATTACTTGTGATATGAAAGACATGAAACCCCATGAATTCAAAAAAAAAAAAAAATCAGTAAGTATCTACTTTGATTTGAAGGATTCAGGATTTAGGAATTTACAGTTAGGGTTAGAGCTCACATTTTGGGATTTTGTGTTGGTGTTCAAAATTGAAGCTTTAGGGGTTTAGGTAATGAATTGATTAGTTGAGATTATGTGTTATATCATTATATTATACTAATGCTACTAGTTAAAATTCAAAATTTGATGTCTATGGCTACTTTTAGAGTTGGGTGCATTCAAAAAAGCGAGTGCATCGAAATATTAAGCAAATATTTTAACATTATTCGAATAGAGGACGAGTGATGTTGTGGCATAATGGTGAAGCTCTCAAAGTAAATTTCTTGCACCCACTCTAATTCTGCAGTGGCATGAGTCATAACACGATACTAGAACGAGGAACAATACGTTGTTTCTGTGACCGCCAAGAGATGAGATTTTATCCGAGATCAATAAGACATGCGAAAATGAAGATACGATCATCCGGATTACCCGCCCAATCAGAATCAGCAAATGCAGACAGAGCAAGTGGAAGCGATCAGACGTAGAATAGATAGTCCATAATGCATGGTGCCAGGGATATCATATAACACATGATAAACACACTGATATAACACAAGATAAACACCTCGAAAAATAAACAACCCACACTAAGAATAGGATAGTAGATTAATCTTCAGTTTGGTACGCTGAACTTGTAAATCTCAGCGCATGCAAAACCAGCCGGTACGTTGCCCTACACTGCAATCCTAATTTACCCATATTTACCAGCAGCTAGCTAGGGCTCGGAACTACTTAGTACCAGCCAGCTAAGATCCTCGCAAGCGCAGGACTACATCTATCACATCATCATCCTCCATATTCACCTGCATGATTATATACGAACAGATCAACGACACAAACCAAAGGAAAGGTCAGATCATTAGACCTAGCAGATTCTTCTGCAAAGTAAAAAATGATTTGGGTGATTAATTGGCGATTGATGACCTGCTGAGGGGTAACATCACTGTCCAAACGGCGACCCTTGTAAATGAAACGAATTTGGTCGACTTCCATCCCCATCTGATCACAGTAGGCTTGCATCAGCTTCACGAACGGGGTAGCTTGATTCATTCTGAACGGGGTCGGAGGTCTTCCGTCCTGATACCAAATCAATTCATATGTTAATCAACCTCCAATCACAGTATTATTATTCCTACAATGAGTCTGTTCAGAGCTAATTGATTAATTAGAGCGTCACATACCATGGCCTTCAGAAAGACGAGTATCTTCTTCGGCCCCTCCTGATCCATTACTTGGACTGCATCTATAACATCTCCTTCCTTCATCCTAACCAACTTGGGAGTGTCTTCACGATGCAAATTGCGGCCATTGCACGAGAAACGGACATCATCTGCAACCAGCTCGTTCCAATCGCAGTACGATAGCATCAGGCCCCGCAACTGGGTAGCTGGATCAATTCTGAACCGCATAGAGCTCCCTGCCTAGATCCCAGAATTGATGTGTTAATCAACCACCAATAACAGTATTAGTAATACCTATAAACGTTTAGTTAAAACAAGATCACACTATTCCAGAGTCAATTGATTGATTAAAGCATTACATACCTGGTTCCTCACTTTGACGATTATACTCCTCGACTCCTGATCCATTATTGGTAATCTCTGTTCGTTCTACGCGGAAAATTGGACCCCCAACGCCTGCTGCAAAATAGTTTTGAAAGAGCACAGACAGCAAGTACCTAATCTGATAAAACCAATTTTGTCAAATCATAGTTAAATCATTCAAAAGATCGAACGACGAAACGTCTCTGGATACAAACCACCTCACTCGATCAATCACATCACAGTATCAGACCTTCAAATCCCAAAAGTTAAAACCACTACTGACCTGAAGTTGTGATAAGATCCAATCCTAACTCTGGGGCATTCAAGCTCAAACTAGCTCAAGTCAAATGCGCATCAAAACGAATCTGACACGGATGATTAATCAACCAATGGTGTTATCCTAATCTGACTAAATTGATTCTCGAAATAACCCCCCAATGATCTTATAATTCCACCACAAACAGATTGATAAACAAAATTAACAACCCAAAATGGAAACATCACTGAAACACCACTCACTCGATCAAGCTCCCTCGAAAACCCTACTTGCCTTTTCATCTCAAATTCCTCACTCGAACAAACCCTAAAACCAAACAACTATGATCACAGCAACTTTCCTCCTTGAACTCACTCATTCATTTCAAAATACATATTCCATAGTGAAATTCTCATACCCAGACATACTAATCCACTTAATACCTACAGCCTGTATCATCTACAGGTCATGAAATGAAACCTTAGAATGACTCCTCCGGCTGAACTTTAGAAAGTAGACAGAAGACCAAAGCGGCAACTAGAACAAGCAATGAATCAATCTAAAAGAGGCCAGAGTACTTACAACGGCGTTGGTGAATCCTTTTCAGAGAAGAGAAGGAGGAAGAAGAAGAAGAAGAAAAATCCGAGAAGAATGCGAGAATTGAGAGCTTGGGGAGGGTATACCTCTTTTTTTTTAGTTTTTTAGGTAAATTGCAGAGTTAGGTTAATGAGATTACTAAAAAGTTCATATTTGGTCACTAAAAATATTTAATTTCATTTGTGATTATTAAAATTAGTTAAACGTTTTAAGTTTGGCTACTCTCCGTCCAACTCCGTTAACTTTTGGTGATGTGACAGTCAACTTTGATAATTAACCGTTAAAGATGTGATTTTGCAATTAAAAAATATTTAAAAAATAAAATTTCATTTTATAAAATTTCCACATCATTTTAGAACAATTTAAAAATAAAGTTAAAGAAGACCCATGACCCAAACCGTACTTTCTTTACCCGCCCGACCTTTTCCTTCTCTTGCCTCCCTCCGGCCTTCGCCCGGCTCCAATCCTCTGACCACCACAGCCAAAGAACCCTACGCCCAGACTTCCCCTCGCAACGCCACAATATGCGACGCGATCACTCATTCTCTTAAACTCTTCTACACTAGATTTGTCTTGCTTTTGCTTTCTTCTCCATGAGACTCCACGAAATCGAACCGCCATGCGAGAGACAGGTCGAATCTGAAAAAGTTAAACTACTCACAAGGTAAGTTGTGAGTAGATACTTACAGAGTCAGAGAAAAGGGTAAAGAAAAAGAAGAAGTGATGACCCATTAAATTCCCAACCACCTTTAACTCTCTAAACCTCTTTCTCTCTCTCATTTCTTTTTTTTGTAATGGATATTGGTCAGTGATATTAGTCTGTGTGAGACTGTGAGGTGGGTATTAGTCTCTATGGTGAGGATATTAATTATGGGCTGACTAGATATTGGTCTTAGATGATATTTGTTATGGCGAACGGATATTATTCTGGGTGGTTTGGATATTTGTTTTGTATGGATGTGTTATTCTGACGAAGAGATGGAAAGAGAGGAGGAGACTCGCATATGATTTTTTTTTTTAATTTGTGGGCCCCCTTTTCTCGGTAGCTGGATAGTGAGAATGGATCAGCCTTTTTTTAATTTCTGGGCCCCATTTTCTCTGTCTCTGTAAGTATATACTCACAACTTACCTTGTGAGTAGTTTAACTAGGTTGGGTCGGATCTACACTTGGTTTTCCTTGCTTATGCTTTCTTTTCCATGGGATCGACATAAGAAGTAGGGTATAAAGGGCGCACGAAGAAGACGGATCTGGAAGGGGAAGCTACTTGATGGACATGAGCCTGCTCCGTCATCGATTAATCTTCCTGTCGGACCAGTTTGCTTCCTCACCTCCAAAATGGGAGATTCGGATCGAATGCACCTCCCTTTTGATTTCAACCCTTAAATCAAATGCTTTATTTCTACCCCTCCCTCTTTGGTTCCCCATCTATTCGCATACCCTAACTAGAAATGTTGACCAAATTCAGGGAATCTATTTTCACAACTCCCTCTAACCCCCAGCTTGTATCTCGATTAAGCTCAAAATGGTTACTGATATTGATCGGTGGTTGTTTTCATGTTGCTAGTGGATGTATTGGGTGATGTATAGGGATGCCGGCGATGGCGAAGAGAGGTAGAGTGGTGAAGTGTTCGCCAGAAGGAAATAGAAGCAATGCTAGCTAGTGGGAGAAGAAGGGGATGAGTGCATTGCTGATGGCGGCAGTGTCAAGGATTGGAGGTAGGCTTGGCAACATGGCCTATCCGCAACCCGCCCGAATTGCTAACGAATTTTCCCCAAATCCGCCTCATTACTAATATCGGGCTTGTTTTGAGGCCCAAGCCCGAAACCATCGGGCAACGGGTTTACCCGCTACTACAAAAAAAACCCGATGAAAACCAACAAAATACACTAGAATTGAAACTGAAAACTGCATAAAACAGACATCACCATTCACCAAATCATCATCCAAACATACCAAATCATCATCCAAACATTATGAGAGGTATTTAGTTATTTACACTTTGTAAGAGATGAGGGTCTATATATGGAGCACCTCCTCCTCATTTGTAATCGTCCATCATTTTTTAAGCAATACATCTAGATAGTTTCTCCCATCTTCTTGTGTCTTCTTCTTGTGAGTTGAGTGAGTTTGAGAGCTTGTGAGAAGGCTCCTTAGCATCTCTAACGGAATTGAGAGCTAAGGACGAACGGTCGAGTGTAAGGTCGTGACACCACTCGCCAGCAAACTCCAGAGCCCCCATATATGTCTCTCTCCGACGAGCAAATCTCTCTCATTCAAGATAGCGACTACCAAATTTACGATCAAGGGACACCTCGGCCGCCTAAAGGACGACCTTTAACAGAATCTGTTTTTGTAGAGGATGCGTATTCAGGGGCGGCTAGGGAGGTGACCAGCAAGCTGTAACTAATGAATAGACGGTATATCACACGACCCTACGCCGTTGAAAAACAATTGCGCTCACTAAACGAGTTAAACGCTTGGCTTAAGTTCTCTCCAATTAAATAAATAACAATACAAAATTACCAGGCCAATGATGGGAGCAAAGCTAGTTACTTATAGTAATTGTTTCGTTATAGAAAGATCTCCATGTTATCTCAATCTTCTCGTGTTGATTTGCAACCCTAACGTAGGTACTCATAAACAAGCAAATCTAATGCTTCTTCTACTAGGGTTTAGGGACAAACTATTGAAAACTTTATTACGCCTAGTTGATTTAAGGGTGTGCGACGCCTTTGAAAGCATCAAGTTGCTTCAAGGGAGGGGGTGGAGTGCCCTTGAAAATGTCAGATGCATATGAAGAAGAAGAAGAGACGACAGTGTCTGATGTCGACGCCTCTTTGATAATGTTACCTCATATGCCAAGCTGAAGCACTTCCACCCCCACCATCTATGTGAACCAACACTATATCTCTTGTTCTTCCATCCACCTCATTCAGCTCATAACCAATTGCTATAACGAAGATAATACGTAATGTATGGTGGATGTTACCTCATATGCCAATGACTAGACCAACCCAGTTAAGGTTTTAAGGAAAGAGGAGGGTTGTACACAGATGAAATGTCTTCCCGATTCACTGATACCAAAAGAAAATACGCTCTACACATAGATAGATAGATAGAACAATGAACAACGTAAATCCATACCACAAGTAGTCTCTTATTCACACAAGGCAAGAGAGAAAGGAGCAGAAACGATGGCTGCAGAGGCACGTAGGGCAAGAATAATGTATCACAATCTTTATCCATACCAGCCCAGCTATAGCTAAGATCCTGTCTGGTGCACGAACTCATGGATAACATCTCCATCCGTCATATTTAGCTGCATGATTACGAACGGAAAGGTCGGATAAGTAAGACCTACATGACTGGCTCAAGTAGCTACCATAATGTATACAAGTAAACGAATTGGGGCGATAAATTGTAAGGAGAAGAACGTATCTATATATGCGAGCCATCGATGACTTACCTTCTGAGCCGTATCATCACGAAGCAAACGGCGGCCATTATGCAAAAAATAAACATCGTCAACTACCAGCTCTTTCCAGTCACAGTACGATAGCATCAGCCTCCGCAATGGGGTAGCTTGATTAATTCTGAACAGGATGCTGCTCCCATCCTAGTTCCCGAAGTTAAATTATGTTGATCATCCAACAGTGAGTATTATTTATACATTTAACTACAACGAAGACAATTCCATTGATTAGAGTATTACATACCATGCCCAGGACTTTGACAATTATATTCTGCGGCTCCTTATCCATTACTCGGGACTCTCTGCTCGTTCTCCTGGAAGAATTGGACTCCATCGCCGGCTGCAAAATCGTGCAAAAGAGTAGAGACAGCCCTTAGATGCTTTAGCCCTTTAAGTACCTAATCAGCAGTTCTGTCAGATCATAGTAGATAATTTCAGACGATAGAACAACTCGAAACATCTTTAGATACAAACAACTTAACTCGAATGATCAAATCACAAGCTATGTTATAACCATTACTTATCCGAATCGATATAAGAACCAATCCTATCTCAAGAGGTCCAAGCTCAGATTAGCAAAGTCAGATGCGCATCAACTAAATCTGACATGGATGTAGAGGATTTATCAAACAATGGTGTTATCCTAATATGACTTAATTGATTCTCCAACTAATCCCCAAGATCTTAAATTCCAATACAAGCAGATGACTAAGAAAATCAAGAAACCCATCAAGCAAACATTAGTTCATATCATTCCAGGACACATAATCTGATAATCAAAATACCACCCACTCCAACAAATTCCCATGAAAACCCTAATCGCCTTCTCATCTCAAATTCCAACTTCCCATCAAACCTTTGCTTGCTTTACGTAACAGACCACCTAATAATCCCTGAATTACAGCCAGAAAATCCACTACAACTTGCCCCTTGAACTCAATCATTCATCACCATATTGAAATTCTCATACCCAGCCCTATGAAACCACTTAATGACTTGATAACTAAAGCCTAAATCGTCCACAACTCATGAGACCTCTGAATGCCTTCCCTAGCTACACTATAGACAGTAGACTGAAGAACAAAGCGGCAACGGGAAGAAGACATGAATCTAGCAGAGGCAGCAAGAGTACTCACTGCTGTATTGATCCGAGAGGTTAGACTAGAATTTGGAGCTCGGAGAGGAAAATGGGAATGGCGCCGTGGATTGGAGTGGAGAGTGCCTCTTTCGCTTCTCAACCGAAGAAACCCTTTTCCCATTGAAGTCGCCCCAACGTTCTTTATATAAGTTTTTAAATGGTCGGTTGGGTTGACCACTCAATCAATGAACTTATTTGATATGGGTTTGGCCGTTGAGTTGAACCGGATCAACATTGTATCTTGTCTAATTTGGTCATGTTTGGTCCAATCCAAATTACAATCGGTCTATCTTCGAAAATTATAAAATTCATGATTAGTAATCAGATTACATTATATTCTATTCGATAATCTTATTTTCCTAATTAAGAATCATAAATATTGAGAAAAAAATTATCCGCAAGGAGTCCGAACAACAATTGATTTGATCCGATACGATCCGGTACGGTACGGTCCAACCGGTTGTACACTTCAACTTGCAGTCCCCGCGCCAAGCCCAGTGACACTGGTTCTCTTAAACCCTAAACCTAGCTGACCATCAGAACTAGGAACACAAAGAAGCGGGAACTAAGGAGTTCTTGCGTCGGATTAGCTTGTTCCATTTGAATACGGTGCGAATTTTGCAGTTCAACCTTGAGATTCTCCCCAAGCTCTTCCGGTATTCTTTTTTCCTCCCGTCTGGTTTCCATTTGTTCGAAGGTTGTCTGAAGTTTCGTTCTTTTTTTAGGTCTGATGGCTCCTGGTGCACTAAGCAAGAAGAAGGGCTCAAAATCAAGCAAAGGCCCACCTAAGAAGAAGCAAAAGGGTAACCTTTTCACCGAGAAACGCCCCGAAAAGGCTGACCTTTCAGACGATTCCGATGTCTCGGATGAAGAAGTAGAGGAATTGGAAAACTTCGATGAAGACTCTGGTTCTGAACTTCTGTCCGGGGACGATGATCCTCTAGCTGATGATTTCCGGAGTGATGATGAAGGTACCAATTTTGCTGAATCCGCCTTCCCGCTACCTTCATTACTGTTTGGTGACACAGGAGAAGGGAATGCTTCATGTTTGTTGACGACTGGTTCTACGTGATGTGGTATGGTGCAGAAGAAAATTCAGGCTCGGATTCTGGTGCTGGTTCAGACGGTTCAGACTCTGATTCAGATGTATCTGATATCGAGCGGAAGTCTAGAGCTCTTGATGAACGCAGAGCAAGGGAGGAAAAAGATGCAGAGGATGAGCTGCAGACCAATATTGCTGAGGAATCGGACGAGTTCCGGCTTCCAACAGAGGAGGTCTGGAGTATTTTCTGGTTCCTGCTCATTCTACAAATTTTGAATGTATTGGTGTCTTCTGTTGGCTTCACTCATTTTGTGCGTGCGTCCTAATGAGTAATGTCATTTCAGGAACTTGAAGCTGAGGCAAATCGCCCTCCTGACCTTCAGAATCTCCAAAGACGAATCCAAGAAAGTAAGATGTACTCTCTTTTCAGTTCTAAGCTTTGTTCTTTGTCTGTTATGGAGAGAAATTGCCAACTAAATGTTATGTTGATTTACAGTTGTTAGAGTGCTTTCAAATTTTAAAGATTTGAGGCAGGAAGGTGCTAAGAGGAAGGATTACATTGAGCAGCTTAAGATGGATCTAAGTTCTTATTATGGTTACAATGATTTCCTTATTGGAGTTCTGATAGAGGTGATTCAAGTATTTGGTTGACTTGCTAGAATCATTAACAAAATATTTTCTCTTCAATCTTATATAATTGGATTGTTTCATACTATTTGTTTCGTTTTACTTTCAGATGTTTCCAGTGAATGAACTTCTGGAACTTATTAATGCTTTTGAAAAGCCAAGACCTATATGTTTACGAACAAACACTTTGAAGGTGAGAAAGGCCTTCCATTGCCGGAGCCAGTTCTCTGGCCAGTTTCATGGTTAACCTTATGCTCATTGGTTTATGGTGGCTGAATCCACGTAGGCAAGAAGACGTGATTTGGCTGAGGTCCTGTTGAAAAGAGGTGTGAACTTAGATCCCTTGAGCAAATGGTCAAAAGTAAGAAAATGTTGCTGGTGTTTTTCTTGTGTGTATGTGCATATTATTGTCACCTTATGTTGTTAAGATGTCATCAGGTTGGACTGGTTGTGTATGATTCGCAAGTGCCAATTGGGGCTACTCCCGAGTACATGGCTGGGCTCTACATGGTAATTGGGATTTGTGCAGCTTCATATTCTTCATCATGCCAGTTTCCTGAGTTATACAGTTATAGTTTATGACTTAATAGCTGTTTGATGACAGCTACAAAGTGCAAATTCATTTTTGCCTGTTATGGCGCTTGCTCCACAAGAAAAGGAGTGGATTGTCGACATGGCGTAAGTAGTAATCATTATGATTTTTTCTCTCTTCAATTTTGATGAACTGGCTGTATAACTTTTCAATTCTTGAATGGCTTACCTGCCACTTGAATTTATACCAACAATTGCGAAGATATATCATATTATCAGTGCCAACTATTGTGCTCTGCCACTCAGTTAAGAAGGGAGAAATTGTTTTGGATGATTGGTTGCATAGGTCATTTGCCTTAAACCTCGTTCGATAGTGCTAAGTACTCTATTACTTGTGTTATATTTGTACTTTTGGTGATTGTGTTGTGTTAAAAGTCTTTGAGTTGTGCTTTGTAACGTTTTTAGGATTCTGGACCAGGTCTCCTCAACCATGTACACATTGATATCGTAGTGCTGACCGTTTGTGGGTTTCAACATTGGAACTCATCGTTGATCTATCGTTTCGTCCTTCCCTTCTGAATGATTAGGTTCATTAAGTGTGCATTGTCATCGTTTCATGTTGAATTTGTATGTGTATATGACGTAGCAACTTCTTCCTGTCACAGGGCTGCACCTGGTGGCAAAACAACATATGTTGCTGCTCTTATGAAAAATACAGGTATGTTGTGAGGCTTGATAGCTATATTCTCTTGCTTGTAGCGTATCTTTCATAAGCCTTCTCTGATATAAATATTATGTGAACAATAGATGAACTCTTTGTCCATTCTTTTCTCATTTCTTGTTAAACTTATAAATATGTAAATACAAAAGGAATTATTCCATCTCGAGTTATCTAATAGCTTTCCATAAGCAACGTCTTCTCACCTAGTAACCTAAATTTTTAGGCAGATTTAGAACTTTTCTAATATGCTAATTAATTGGTATTCCCTTGTTTTATCATGTTATGATGTATGCTCTATTGTTCTCTTTGGTCCCTCCCAAAAATCTCTCGACTTATGTGATGCAGGCCGTGGTTCTCATTTTGATGAATTTGGTTGTTGAGGAAAATGAGTCCCTTAAGTGTATTTGAATATCTGATTCCCTGGTGGAAGTTACTTTGGTTTGCTTCCAGAGCTCTCACACGTGTTCAATTTCAATTATTGGTCAGGAATAATTTATGCTAACGAAATGAAGGAACCAAGACTTAGGTCACTGACTGCCAATTTGAATCGGATGGGGGTGCAAACACCATAGTTTGTAACTATGATGGTAGAGAGGTTGGTTCTTTAGCTATTGGGTTTTTGGGGACTCCGATTGGCGCTTTTGATTTCTAATACGTTTTCCATTATTTGGTTGTAGCTTTCCAAGGTTTTGGGTCTCAATTCAGTTGATAGAGTGTTGCTGGATGCTCCCTGTAGTGGAACAGGGGTATGGAGCACTCGTGAATTGCCATCTAATCTGATTTCACTGCCTTTTTATTGGTTGTTGACACATTCTTTCTTAATAACATGCAGGTTATATCTAAAGATGAGTCAGTAAAAACATCCAAAAGCCCGGAGGATATAGAAAAAAGTGCTCAACTGCAGAAGGTAGGTAGCTGAAAGCTGTCAATCTAGCAACTTGGCTTGTTGTCAGCCTAATTTTATCTTCATTGGTTGATTGAGCTTAATAAGTTATCCTTTTGTTGCAGCAATTGATACTCAATGCAATTGACATGGTTGATGCAAACTCAAAATCTGGGGGATATATTGTTTACTCCACATGCTCCATGATGATTGCTGAGGTTCGTAGTGCTAACAGGTTATATTGTTGGATTACATATATTGTTCTCCTCCCCTTACATGCATTTTTGGAGATTCTTCCTGCAGAATGAAGCAGTCATTGACTATGCTCTCAAGGAGAGGAATGTTAAAGTAGTGCCATGTGGTCTCGACTTTGGCCGTCCGGGGTAATTCTAATTCTCCTCCAGCAGCTGCCATCTATTTTACACCTTTGAATGTAGCAATCATTAAAAATTTCTGTCTTTATAGGTATACTAGATTCAGAGAGTATCGGTTTCACTCATCCTTAGATAAGACTAGACGGTTCTATCCCCATGTACACAACATGGATGGATTTTTTGTGGCAAAGTTGAGTTTAGGGTTTCCACATTCTTACTTCCAAGTAGCCAGCCAAATATTCTCATTCGGTCTTGAAGAAAAGGACTTCCCTCACCAGCATGTTACTTTCTACCTTTTTTCCAGCTGAAGAAAGTAAGCAATTCATTACCTACTGCCGCAGCTGCTGAAGCTGTGCAGTCTACAGAGCAAGCTCCGCTGTCCAGTGAGAAAGACGTGGAATCTGTAGAGGAAGCTCCACTCTCCGGTGTGGAAGACGCTGTGGAGGGAAGTGTGCGGCCTTCCAAGGAGGACAGTAATAAGAAAAACAACCCAGGTCGGATAAAACGAGAACACCAAAATGGGAATGGAGTACCGAAACCAGCAGCTGATAAGCGCCGCGAGAGGAAGTTCCCATTCAGAAAGGAAGTCCCCCGCAGAACGGAAATCATAAAAGCAAGGTAGTTATCTATAAGAATGATGAAATCTCTTGTAATATCTTCATCCACTGGAAGTTCCATGTTGATTCTATCTGATGTACGTATTTTGAAACAATCTGCAGGGAGGAGAAGAGACAAGCTTTGAGGGGAACAAAAAGAAAAGGAGAAGGGAGCAAGTAGAGGAGGTCGACGATAACAGAAGCAAGAAGGCCATATACGTTGGAGGGAGGAATGCTGAGAACAGAACACACTCTGAGGAGCATGCCATGTCGTTAGAGATTTGGTCTTCTTGGTCATGTAGCTAAAATTTTAGCTTAAAATTTTGTTTGATTCTCGCCTTTATGTTTCTATAATTTTGAGTTTATTATAATTTTAGAAGACTCGCTTACTCATTATGTATGACAAAGTGGATGAAACAAGAGGGTTACAGCGCATCATTGGTCAAAAAACTTGTCTTTTCTTATATGCAATTTAAGACTTAACTCTTTGCTAAAAGTCTGCATTCTGTTTTCTTTTACAAATGATGAACTTTGGCTGATATCATAACGGAGTTGGTTGGACTTTGGAGTTGGGCGGCAAACGTGATTCCACCTGTAACCGTCAAGTCAATGTTGACG